TTTAAATGAGGCGGACCGGACTCCTGCGCGTGCAGCGGAATTAATAAGCTGTGATATAATAAATCGAGGTGATTTATCGCGCTGCCTGCACTGTATAATCGGGCTGTGGCAGTGCGGGGGAGCGCGAGCCTTGGGCAGGTCCGGGCGCCATCTTTAATTCTGAAACGCTAGAGCGGCATCAAGCCGTAAAGGGGGGGCGTCTTTTTGTTTTACGCAGCTGAAAATGCTATTAAGCTCCCCGAGTGTGTGGCGGATGGAACGGCACAGCGGGCAGGAGTGTTACCAGCCATGTTGCTTCACGTCAAAACGCTCTGCCGCGGAGCTTAACAAGCTCTTAATGTGGCTTTTAACGTACTGGGGAGGGGGGGTGTGGCCAAGCCCCCCCCCCCCCCCCCCCGCTAGGTCCCCTGAGAAAATGCCACCCGTCGCTCACCCCACAAATATCAAGCGGTCGTAAATTACGAGCCTCCAATTAGAGGCATCCACCCGGCCACCGATAGAGAGCGCGTTAATTTGCTGACGTAAATCGCACACCATTACAGACTATAAAAAGTCCATCAGGAGTGAGGGGCTAGCGAACGCTCCCGGGGAATTCATTACCGCTGTCGTTAGGGGACGTAAGCTGTCATCCGCGGCTTTACACGCATGTCACTTACGGCGGAGGTCCCATTACCGCAGGTGCATCTCAGAAAATGAAAAGCTAAAAAAAAAAAATGGAAAATTATATTTACACGTCACCCAGGGGAATGAGGAGTGAACACAAAGCAGAAGGAACCGTAGAGATGGAACCGATGAAACCGGAACACAGAAGTTGGATTGTATTGGGTAACCAAACTGAGCAGGATGTCGCTAAGCCTAACTGGACTGGGTGGCCCAGGAGCAGGGAGCCCATCACCGTCTGATAGCGGTAACATTCCATTCATTCACCTCATTTCAGTATAATTCTGCTTATCTTAGGGGTAGCCAGCTTAGCATAGCCGACACATGAATACAACAGAGCGAAACCGGAAGGACGAAACAAGCTAGTCCATTTGCTATTAGGGACTCTCAAAGAAGATCCAAGAAGACGAGGCAGACAATGAAGTCCAACGTGAGCCGAATTTCCCAGAGCAGAAGCCTGAAGTACACTTAAGAGTTACGTTATCCGGGTAAAGCGCACGGGCTTAAAGGAGAGGGGCAGGCATTCGCTAATTCACCGCGACGCCCCCTTGCATTCAAGCGGCCTCTCCGTGGAAACCCTTTGTGCTAACGGCCTTTAATGCGCCTCCTCCGAAAAGGGAGAATCAAAGAGACGCGGCCCGGCAATGACGACAGGCCGGACAGACCCTTGGGCCGACTTCCAGCAGCCCACAACGCGCCAAGCCTTCATCTGCGGCCGCTGATTGATGCGTTATGGCCACTGTTGTGGTTAACAGCAATTTTTATCTGTTGCTAGCGGCAACGGTGCGAGTCGCCGGTGGGAGGGGGGCAGCAGGCCTGGCTCTGAGGCAAGCCCGTACACGAGGATAAACAAGCAGGCGGGGGCAGAGCTGACAGCGACTTCTCCAATGGAAACGCTGAGCGGTGTTGGCATGGTGACCCCGCCCCTCTGGCTGGCTGCATTGGCCCCGCCCCTCTGGCTGGCTGCATTGGCCCCGCCCCTTTGACCCCACCCCGCTGGTCTGCTGCCCTCCTTTACTAATTTTCACTGTGTGTAGGGGCCACCAGCACGTGGATACTTTGCAGCATACTGGCAAATGAAGGGGCACAGGAGACAATGTAGGGGAGGGGCACGCCCATGCTGTGGGAGGACAACGTCCGAGTGGGACACACTGTCTGAAACAGCCCACGAGGTGCTCTTATGAAAGCTTAAGTTTGTACACGGCTACAATATCATTGTGTTTGAAAGATGCACAACCTCCTACATTCAGACCAAAATGCAAACAGCTACAAATGGAGGAATGGTAGACAGTTGGTTCATCTTCCCTCTACGGCCGCACGGGAAACTGAAGGAAGGGCGGCAGAAGGGATTGGGGGCGAAATGCAACATCTTCTGAGGACCTCAACGCCTCTGACAGCATGCGGCCGATGGAAACCGGCGTTTAGATGTGTCAGAGCTGACGGCATTTTCCAGAACCTGCAGGCAGCACCAAAAGGGAGCTCTTCCTTATCACAGAAACGGCGTCTGCAGCCGGGGGCAGCTCGCTGCGGGGGGCGCTATCGCTTCATCTCAGAGAAAGGGGGCCGTTTATTGAGAGGCGCAGCCTCTGAGGGCCGCCGGAGAGATGGGCGGTGAGATAGGCGCGCCGTGCCGCGCTGACATTTCGCTGGCCGTTTAGGGCTATCTCCAGAGGCGAGATGAATCACGGGGCCTGGGGCACAGCCCTGTCATAAAGCGGGCAGGTGATGGAGCGGCGAAATGGCTCCATTTAAGATACTCTCTGCCCGAGATCCGAGAGGCCATGACGCCTTCTACGCAAATGCCAGCCACCTAAATCTGCTCCGATGTGCTGTAGAGCACACGGCCTCCCCCCAGACAGGAAAGCACATCCTGTTTGTCGCTGAGCAGCGGGAGAGAAGAGCCCCCCCCCCCCCCAAAGAGGATGACAGCACTGCCCCCACATCTTTCTGCAAGATGTCCTCAGCTTCCAGCCAATTACCTCTGAAAGACACGACCCTGGAGTCCTTTGTGACACCTTTTTAACATCTTAACACTCCTTTCAGACTGCCCCCCCCCCCACCCCACACCCTTAGCCAGGAAGGGGAATTAGAGACGGCGAGCTCTGTCATCCACCTGAATCATCTACCGACACCCCGCAGATCGCCCCCCCAGCGCTGAATATTCTTCCATCATTCACTACTTCTTTCCAGAAGCTTCTCACTCCTGCTCCCGCCGATTCCGCCGGGCCCGGTGACCTAATCACCACCCACTTAGTCACCACCGAAAATCGCTCCTCGCACAGCGAGTCTGTTCAGATCCCCGACAGCGACAGATCTGAGCGTCGTGGCGGCAGCCAGGTGGTGACAGGACTGTGTGTGACTCTGACAGCAGCTGCATCATTAATTAGGTATAATATAGGTGATATACAGAAAGCCGGCTTTGTGCCTTCGACTATCCAACTTGCGTGGATCAGACAAACGCCATCAAAGGCCCTTTAATTCCCCATATGCTAAATGCTTAGCGGCTGATGCTAATTGTATGACACCTTATTATGAATCCTTCCGCTTTCCTGTTTATGATGTTTACATGCTGGCTTGTTATCTTATATTACTGAAAGGCTTTCATAACTGGGGGGG